AACAGACAGGCTGAGGATTTAGCTCAGTGGTTCCGGCACCTGCCTCGCAAATGCAAGGATCTGAGTTCGATCCCCAGTAGCAGTGCAAGTTCAGGGCCAGCCTGAGTTTATATAGTGAGACCCTGTCTCAAAATGAAACAGACAAAAGAGAAGCTTAGGCTCCAGGGTTCTTCACTCACTATGGCCTCTTCCAAGGCCCTGTGCATAAATCTATAACCCAGAATTTTGCATCTTTTTCCTTAAAGAAAGCTCTCAAAGTAATATATACTTCAGCCCTACAAAATCTGTCTATACCCCAAGCAAAGATTAGTGAAACACACACCAGCTGGCACATGTTGAGCCCCTTTCTCACTTGAAGCCTGAAGGGACAAGAGGAGAAGCAGTGACTAGAACCCAGAGAGTCAGCCGTGCGGAAGCCCTGGTTGCACTAGCCCACTCAACTGAGAGCCTCCTTAGAGGGGAAGAAGGGGAAATACTGCCTTGGCTTCACTCCAGCCCCTCTCTGGTTAGTGCCCTCACTGGCCTAGTCTACCCAAAACCAAAGGCAAGAGGGTCAGTTTTTATACTCCATCGTGGTACAGGGCCTGGCACACAGACTCAGGTAAAGAGGGGTGAGCCAACAGAGCACCCAGCACACAATGTTTCCTCAGTTAACTGAATTCCAAAGCAAAGCTCCGGTCACAAAAGGGCTCACCTGTTGTTTGCTCCATCACAGCCACTATTGTTCTACTTATTTTCCTGATGCTATAATTTCAAATGGAAAAAATTTCTGAGCTTTTTGTTTTGGGGGGCAGTGAACCCAGGGAAAACAGAACTATACACCCCCATTCCTTTTTAATTTTTTAAAAAGTTTGATAGTGTTTCAATGAATTGCCCAGGTTGGCCTCCAACTTGCAGTCCTCTTGCCTCAGCCTCCCAAGTTGCCAGGATTATAGGAATGTGCCATCACACCCAGCACTGAGCTAACTAAAGCCTGATGTTTGTCTTGGAAAAAATATTTTGACTCTTTGAGCCATGATTTATTTGCCTCTTTCAGTTAAGGAGAAATTTCTGTCACAAAGTAGATGCTTAATAATTATTAGTGAATGAGTAAATGATTCTACAGTTTTATCTCCCTTTCTCATTGGTCAAATATAAGTAGCTTTAAACAATTAGATTTCACTCTATTTTATAAAAAATCAATAATTCTTTCCCAAAAGTAGGTGTCTGCTATTATTATTATTATTATCCTCACCATCATCATTATCAAGCTGGCCCTGAACTCACTGTGCTGACAAGGCTGGCCTTGAACTCACAGTGATCATATTGTCTCAGTCTCCTAAGTGCTGAGATTTTAGGTGTGTGCCTCCCAGCAAGGCTGCTTTTTAAAAGAAACTTTTTGGAATGATGAAATTTGAACTCTGCCATACATAATGGCTTTCAGTAATGATATTAAATAATCGCTTTTTTTAGGACACCATTAAACCTGAAAGTTAAAAATATTTTTCTATGCTTTCAACCAGTAATATATCTCTGCTTTTATACCATGAGATGTGATTGTTGTTTGGTTTAAAGTGGCAGCATTAGCTTTTGTTAAAGGGGGGGAGTGTAAAAAGAAAAAAAAAGGAAAAAAATGAGGGAAGGGGAATAGGAGAAAAAGAGAAATCAAGCTATATAAACTCCTTTTGATGAATATGATCATTATGTATATTTAAACTGTACCAATAAAATTAATAAAAAGGGGACAGCATTAAAAAAAAGGAGCATATTGAGGTGTAAGTGAAGCTATGTGTCTGACATATACATTGAAAGGAGAGACAGACACTTTTAAAAAAGGAAAAATAGCAACCAAGATGAGATGGGCATTGGAAGGGGTGACATTTGGTAGAAATAGCATAGGGACAAGTAAACATTCCTCCCTGGAAGACTGGCAGGAGGGACGATGGTGGGAGAGGCTCTGAAGATCTGACGTGTTGTACTACATGAAATTAGACCATAGATCAAGAATGACTGACTGTAGCCATTTCATATGCTTTTTCATAAGAAGCCTATTTTCCTGAACAGTGTTACAGTCTGGTCGTTTAGTACAAGCACAAGTCTTTTTGTATTATAGTAGCCTTGGAAGAAACTGCTAGTATAGCTCAAATGGGATAACAGAGGTTCATCATTCCATTTCCAGAATCATTAAGAAGCAGCTAAATCTTATTTAGTATATTGTGAGAGAGGGAACTGGATATCATGGTGGAAAATATTTACAAAGTTAAAATGAAAAATTTCAGTGGTTACTAAGTCAAGGTTTATTTATGTGAACATTTATGTGTGCTATATATAGTAGCACAAGCAGCATCAAAAAGGAAAACACAGGCCAGAGATTTAGTTCAGTGGTTCTGCCACCTGCCTCACAAGCACAATGTCGTGAGTTTGATCCCCAGTACCAGAAACAAAACAAACAAACAAAAGGAAAACACAAAATAGGTGGGGAAGATAGTTATTCTGTTTTAATTTGGTGCTGAGGATTGACTTTGGGGCCTCACTGCACCTCCAGCCCTAGTAAGTTCATTTTAAATGCCTCTTCCAAATCTAGGTCTGTAATATCAGGGTTCCAATCTGAATCCTACCTTAAATTTAGCTTCATCTCTCTGCCACTGCAGATGCTGAGAGGATATTCAGCTGTACACTTATCATGGGAAAAGGCAACTTCTAAAAGTCTTCAGAATGAATGTCTTGGAAGTTATTAAAAAAATGATCTCTTATTAGTCATTCCTGCTTTTTGTGGTATTTCTCTTTCATGCAGCATAATTCTATGTGATTTCTATCCAACTTTGAACTATTTCTCTTTTTTGTATCCCTTCCTTACCCCCTCTGCTATCTTTCATTGTTTAGTTAGCAGTCATGTGGTTCTTGTTTTATTAAAAAGATTTTCTAATCCCTATTTTTACTCTTAAAAGTTGAAGGGAAAATAGTTTAAATTCTTATATTTTTGAAGCCATACAACTAAAGCTATTTTTAAAAAATAATTTATTCAGAAAGTCTGTAAGATAGAGCACTAAGCTAGCATGTGCAAAAAAGCCCTGGGGTTGATTCCCAGCATGGCAGGAAAAACAACAATAAAAAGAAAAAAGAAAAAAAATCTCTTTAGAAAAAATAACTACCTCACCAACATATACATATACATATGTTGTGAGGCTAAAGTATTGTCAAAATAACATGGCTAATTGCATCATTCATAATAATAGCCAACTGACTCATTCCTCACTATAGTTGAGATCTACAGTATCTTTCAGAAAAACAACAAAGTGAGCTCTTAGGGATTCACAGGTGTATAAAAAAAAAGTTCCTTTTGTACACTTATGACCACATTCTAAGACACACAGGTGAGGACATGTAAAAAGTCTTCATCTGCTCAAGTCCGAGCTGGGCTGGGAGCCAGCAGTAAACCGTCAGAAATGGAAGTTCATGTGTCCACAACTGAATCAGTTTGCATATTCTTCACATGGGCAGAAGGAGGGGAACGCTCTTGACTACATTGAAGTCTTGGGTAGAAACAGTTTTCATTCTCTTTTGGATAGATCCGTGCTACTAGTAATCTCTGAGAACACTGATAACTCTTTGAAAAGGAAGAGGACTGTTCCTTTTCTTTACTAGCAGCAAATATTTGATGTCTGCCTTTAACTAGACTTCTTCATGCAAACTGTTGACATTGACGACAGGGCAGTTATCCTGCTGTCATTGAGGGCTTACATTCTACTAGGAAATGAAAACATAGGACACATGAGACTTTTTTCTTTAGACAGAATTACTAAAATTGCCATTAATCCCCCCCAAATCTCTTTTAAACAGCTTGTCATATTTTCAAATAATATGCTCTATGTATATTTTTCTTCAACCTCCTATCATGTGTTTAGGTGAAAACCCCTAAATTTAAAGCAATGATTCCAATTGGTAATCTTAAAAATCAAAACAAGCAAAACCAAAAAATATAATACTCTTTTGCCACATGTCTAGATAAAGGACATCCTCTAATATGTTAACAGTTTATCCTGTATGTCCTGGCCTTAGCTCTCCCATAAATGAGATAACAGATTTCTGAAATTATACCAGTACAAGGTAACATTTACTAAGTGACACCTGTGTGCTACCATACTATACAGGTTGCCATTCACAGACCAGCTTTGCCAGATCTGCCTTGGTCACTACACACTCCTGGAGTACGATCTCATCAAGGATGCTTGCAGTGTCCCCTGACAAGTCATATTTCACGTTAGCCAACAAGAGCGCTCTAAAACAGTCCAGGCACACAACTCAAGCACCATCTGTAAAACAGTTCTGTGGACTGCTCCCATCCCAGTGGGTGGTGGGAGGAAGTCAAGTAAAAGCTCTGCACAGGGAGATATGTAGACTGCCTTCAGTAAGGAGAGCAGAAGGTACTGTACATGGTAAGAAGATAATTACAGAGGTCTTGAGATTACAGTTGCTCTGAGAACATTCAGCCTAGAAACCCTCAAGACCCTTCGCAGGTCCAGGACAGCTGGAGGTAGAGGAGGTTGGGGGTCTGGGAGAGTACATGGGCCTGATGGGCCCTCGTGGCCACTTCGCAAAACACTCCCTTTCCTATCATCATCATCAAGGTTTAGAGAGAAGGTGCTGGGTTTGTGGCTTCCCATCTAAGATTTAAGACTCCAACCCCCCAAAACTCATACTAATAAAGTGCTTACTAGCAGTCGGACCATTCATCTTCTTGTTCTCATCTGCCATACTTCCTCCATGAACACTGGAAAAGAACCCCTGGCTAAAAAGAAATGCGCATCCCTTTTAGGAAGGGGTGTTCCGTGAAGATGTGGCTGTGTATTTTACTGAGGAGCAGTGGGGCATTGTGAACTCTGCTCAGATGATCCTGTTCAGATATGTGTTCCTGGAGACCCACAGGGACCTAGCCTGCTGGGCTCTTGGGGGAAGACCGCATTCTCCGGTGTAGGAGTCAAAACTTTGAAATATGAGGGCCACCCCCTCCATTAAGGACTATGAAGTATATGTACCCAAACCAGACAGATGTGCCTCATACCATAGTCCGCTATTTCCAGAGGAACAGCTTTATTTATGAAGGTAAAATTTGCATATAACAAATTATAGTGTACCCATTTTTCAAAAGGTTTTTACTTGGTGCAATGACAAATGATTACAGTGGTGAAAGGCATGGTGGGATCCTCTGGCCATAATGGTCTAATGGGCCGGTGTGGACAGAGGCACTGGGTGGTGTCTTTACTCTGTTACTCAGGAGCTTCAGAGGCTCTCTGCTGTTGTCAGATAATTTACAAACTTGTCAGGCTGACATTCTGTCATCCATTAGGTGACCTTTGTCTAGCTGTCTTTTTTTCCCCAAAGAGATGGGATCATTTTATTGTAAATTAAGCAAAATTTTAAAAGGGGACATGAGGTCTCTCTGGGCTGGCCTTGGACTCTTGGGCTCAAATAATTCTCTTCTCTTAGCCTCCTGAGTAGATGGAAGTACAGGTACTGCACCTGACCAGGTATCTGTTTAAGTGTATAGTTTAATGAGATTTTAAAAGACAGACACACATTGTAACTATCGCCACAATCAAGATGTAGAAATTTCCATTACCTCCCAGAGTTTCTTTAGGTCTTTTTTTCAGTCTTAGTCCTGCCTTCTCCCATACCCTGCCCCAGGAAACCACTGATCTACTTTGTAGCAGTATTTTGTTAGTTCTACATTGTCTCAAATGTCATAAAAATCCACATTACTGTATATATAACCATTTGAGTCTGGTTTAGTCATCCGTGTCACTCTGTTTCAAAATGTTGCTAATTTTCCTTGTTGAGTAATATTTTGTTGTACAGGTGTACAATTTGTTTATGCATTCATCAGTAGAAAGGCATTTGACTTGTTTTCGGTATTGGGCTATTATGAAGTTGCTATGTATAAATAAAACTGAAATTCCAGGAGATTCAGCAAAACAGTTTAGAAGTATCTGGGGAGTAAAGTAGTCAAGTACTTGATAGCCAAGTTGAAGAACAAGTAACTGGTTTTGTAAAAGCTATTGCCAAAAGTGAGATGGGAAAATAAATGCCTAACAGCAGGGAGAGGACTGCTGATTGGGCATTGAAAACATTGCAACACCATTGGCAGGACAGAATGATACAGTTGTTTAAATTTGACAACGACTGGAACTGAGCCAATAGACTCAAACCTATTTTCCCTGGCTACTTCTTCAGGACATGTTTCATGGCCTGTAGAGGCAGTGGAGACAGAGAGCCCTGTGTTCAGAGTCAGAAAGATTCTACTGGCTACAGAGCTTGGGCAGGGACCAGTCACCTTGGCCAGAGAGGTATAAAGAGATTACCTACATTAGTCTGCTGGGGGGTAATAATGAAAATCTGTGTAAGTCCCTTAGTGTCATAAAGAGGGCATGGTAAGCAGGTATTATGGTTGAAAATCATGTACATGCCACATGTGGTGGGCACATGCTGGCAATCCCAGAACTCAAGAGAATGAGGCAGGAGGATCCTGAGTTTGAGGCCAGTCTGGGTTATATATGGAGGTCAAGTCCAGCCTGGACTAAACAGTCACCAAAGAACCAAAACAAAGACACAAAACAAATCCTGTAATACCTTTGACTTGTGAAAGAATCCAACCAAATGTTTCCTTAGGAAGTCAATGTTTTAATGTATTGTTTTCTTAAAGCACACCGAATTTTTCCTGGTTATAGAACCACTGAAGAATTGGCTCAACCAAAATCGGGTTAAATTTTAGGAGGCTCTGGCCTCAGTCAGGAAGACGCAGAAGTTAGCCTGTCTGCTGAGACACAGCTCAAGTTTCAGAGCTCCCACCAACAGCTTCTCCAGCTGGAAGCATCACCACCAGTTTGTGAGCAAATCTAATTCCAGAGCGCTTCTAGGGGGCTGGTTCTGTGTGTGAAGCCTGGCGTGTACCCCTCTGGGCCCACTCGAGCTCTCGGGTACTGGCTGTGGGACCCCTCAGTGCGGGCTTCGAAGGAGCGGCAACTGAAATTGGAAGATTTGGGTTTGAACCTGACTTTACAGCCCTTACCAACATACTTTGCTTCAGTCTCTGCGCTTGCTTTCCAGTCTGTACAGGACTCCAGCTAGCACCTGGTTTGGAGAGTAAGCACTGTCTTAAATGCCTAGGCCACACCCAACAGTCTGGTGTCCATCCCAGCCTTTTATCAGGCTTAAACCAAGATCCCGCCCGCTCCTCTGCGCCGCATCCCTTGGCACCTTTGTTCTCGATACCGGATCTGAGAGCTGGCTTCTGGGGCCAACACCAGGTGCGGACAGTTTTGCTCTAGGCGCTGTAGGAAGCGCAGTTTTTTTTCCCCTTCCTGGACCGCAGGGCACAACCGCACGGCGGGTCCCGGGGCTGGGCTTGTGCACCCCCAGAGTCCCGCAAGGGCAACGCGGACACATTCCACGCTTCCGTCCTCGCCAAGTGCAGAGAGAGCCACCCCTTCACTGCGCCCCCACCTCCCCCGGGCAAAGACGGGGGGAGGGGAAAGGGGCGGGGCGGCCCGGCGTTTGAATGCCCTTGCGCCTCTCTCATTGGAGGAGCGCTCCCGCCAAGTGGCTTGGCTGGCCAGGTGCTGATTCCTCCACTTTTTCTTAACTATTATTTTACAAACCTGTGGAACCCAGAGTTATCCAGAAGGCTTCTCGTGGTTTTTCTCCTCTTCCCCATCTGTTCTATAAAAGAGTGATTGAGGGAAATAATTCTGTCCCCTGTAGTTACGCATGGTTTTGAAACTGCATCTTTAGGTCAAAAGCAGGTACTACAAGAACTAGGAATTGTTTGTTTTACATATGTAGTTATTTGGATCTTAAAAACCTAAGTATAATTAAAGGTAATACTATGCTATGTAGTGTCAAAATCTTAAAAATAAAGCCAGAATTTTTGTTGGAAAGAATATAACAAAGACACTAAGTTCTCATTTTCAATCAGGAACTGATTTATTACCGTTTTGGCTTGCAGTAGTTCTGGAACATGCTACTAAAGGGGGAATACTCGGATTCTCATGTTCTCTCTCCATTCTCCTTTTATTTTTCCAGTCTAGAGCACAACCACCAGAAGACAACAGAAGGAAACCAGTTTTGGGGAAACTTGGCACTCTGTTTACAGCTGGAAGAAGGAACATCAGAAACGGGGTAGAGAGTCCCGGTCAAACCAGCTCAAACACCAAATCACTCTCCCCCAAAGATGGAACCTCTTCTAAACTCCCTGAGAGAGTGAGAAGAGCAAAATACCGTGCAGCCAACTACAGCAAGCGGACCCCAGCGAGGCGGGTTGCCCCCCAGGAGGCGCCCCTGGAGGCTGAGGCCAAGGACCTGGGGGGACGTATCCAGGCAACCCCCATAGACGCCGAGCTGTCACCTGCGTCAGGCAGCAGTGCAGCGGTTGTGCAGCAGTGCCATGATTCACCTCAATTAGAAGAACCTCTGCAGGCAGGGGGAGAGACCTTCCCGGATGCTACCATCGCTGCCAAGCAGCTGCATTCCTCACCTGGGAATTCCTCCAGGCAAGAGAACGCGGAGACGCCCGCCCGCAGTCCGGGGGAGGATGCCTTGCCCAGCACTGGCCCCGACCTGGAGACTGCGCCGGGGTGGCCCACCGGGGCAGGACTAGGTGAGCCCCCCGACGGAGTCCCCCAAGTGGGTCCTGAAGGAAGCGCTTTGCTTCACCTGGGCGTGCGCAGCCAGCCCCGGAGAACGCTTCCGCTCTGCCAGGAGACCCTCCCGCCCAGGGCTCAGAGAACAGAGCTGGCTCCGGGGAGCCTAGCGGCACAGCACGGCCTGGGGATCGCGCCCACCCCGCCAAAGTGTTAACTTTGGACAGCTACTTGAGTAAGACTGAGGCGGGGCAGGTGGACGAGCCGGTCGTAATTATACCCGGAGCAGAAGATTGCGGCTATTCCGACGACATGGAGAAGAGGTCAAGTGGCCCCAAGTCCGGCCGGAGAAGAAAGTCGCAGAAATCCACCGACTTCCCCGGCGCCGACACCGCGCTGCCCGAGAGTCCAGCCCGGGACGACGCGGTGTTCGACGATGAAGTGGCGCCAAAGGTCTCCGTCTCGGCTGAAAAGAAAGTGATATCTCTGCGGGCGGCCCTTGAGGTGGGCGTTGACTCCACGGCTAGCCCGGAGTCCAAGCCCGGCCCCAAAGGGCAGCTCCGCGGGGAGTTGGATCGCGGCAAACAGCCTCCCCAGACCTCGTCCCCCACCAAGAGGAAGGGCAGGAGCCGCGCCCCGGAGCCCTTGCCCAGCCCGCCTGCCAGCGTCCCGCTGGCTACCGCCAGGGAGTCTCCACCCAAGAGAGCGCCAGCACCCGACCCTGGCCCGAAATCTAAGGGCGCCTTGGCCGACTGCGGGGAGGAAGCGGCCCGGGTCATCCCTCGTGAGCTTACGGTCAAGAGCAGCTCTCTGCTGCCTGAGATCAAACCCGAGCACAAGAGGGGACCTGTCCCCAACCACTTCAACCACTTCGATGGCCGGGGTGGGGAGGGAGGCCGAAGCAAAGAGCAAGGCAGGTCGGCTGGAGCTTCAGAGGCTGACGGTTTGAAGCCCAGGAACCATTTCGGTGTGGGCAGGTCGACGGTGACCACAAAAGTGACCCTGTAAGTAGCTGTGGAATTGGTCCAGCCAGATTCGCGTGTCCACTGGGGTGTAGAGGGGCCCTAGGGAAGGAGCGGGGTCTGCGCGGTTGTGGAATTGTCTGTGCCCTGAATTTTCTGTGTTGAACTAGAGAGTGAAGGATCAGATCACCCAGTTAAAGTTTAAGAAGGTGACACTTCCCTCAGCCTCTTGGTTTCTCATTTTCACGTAAAATCTTAGGTAAATGAATGTAAAAGTAGGAAAACCCTTGAGGCTCAATGTTTACATAAATAACAGATAAGACTTAATGGCTTGACATTACCTAATTATAGAGTTTAGTCAAAGAAAAATGTTCACAGGTGGTCCAGGGTAAGACATTCTTAAAACACACAGGAGAAAACACTGTTTTATTCGGTATGAGCAGGAGCTGTGATGGGGATGAGTTCAATGGAATTCATAGAACCTTTTATGGAATTTAGTGCGTGATTGTCCTAATTTTTTTTAAAGCCCCCAATACAAATATTTCATTGCTTCCTTCCCTCTATAATGTTAGGGAACCTGCTGTTATTTTTGTTCCCGGGGTGAAAATTTGTTTTCAGTTATTGGAGAAAAGATACGTGTTCTTACTGGAAAATCACTGGCTACGTGAAAGTGCACAAAACAGACTATGTGTTGTTGATTTTACAAATAGTTATTCTCTGCATGGTACTGTTCTAGGTAGTATAGGGGAAGAACCCTGCACATGTTGCCCTTGAAATGTTCACGGCCTTTGCTGGTTCTCAATGAGCAGACAAATCAGAAGTGCAGGGAAGGAAAAAAATCATTGTTGGCTTTTGGAAGAGCTGGGCCTTTGGGCCTTGATAAAAAATTTCTGTAGGAGGATAGGATAGGGCTATAAAACTGAGGACTTCCTTTTCTGCCTCTGCTCTCCCTGCCTCACCACTCTCCACTTAGCACAGGTGAAAATGAGTATGTGCTCAAGTTATTCCTGCATTCACACATTTATAAAGAGCTGGTATTTGTGCAGCGTTGTCCTTCTTGAAATGAATGGTGTTCATTCCATTTTGTTTCTTTGAGAAGTGAGCTGTGGAGTAGGAAGTCTGGTAAACCCTTGAGGAAAACATGCTTAATGAATAACGTGAGCAGTCTCACCAGCTGCCAGCCTACAGCAGCTGGCTTGGATACAGTCAGCTATTTATTCTGTAACCATAGTGTTGGAGAAGTGAGCTGAGTGAATGATGCCCATTATTTGCAGAAGACCACTGTGAGCACTCACGGAAACCTACCCAGGTGTGAGCTTAGAGGTAGTTGCTATATACCCAATTGAGGATGCTTCAGTTTGTCTTCCAATGGGAAGATAGCAGTCAAAAAAACCAGAACTGTTACTGTTAAAAGGGTAAACAAAGGACAGAAAAGCCAATCTTACAATGAAACCCTTCTTCATCGGCTGCTTCCTAAACTAAACCAAAAGTCTTTTTCTCAGAACTGATTATTTTTGAGCTACAATTTTTCTTTACTATTCATTTTGTACAATTTTGCACAATGCCTTGCATGTGAATTGGCAAACAATTGAAATGAAAATTAAAAATGCTTTTTAGTCTTTTGACCTATTTCTGTTTGATGGGATTTTTTTCAGACCCTTTAATTTTTACTTTAATTCTTTCTATAATTGTATTGCAAATAAAAATGTTAACAGATTGTTTTTTAAAACAATTTGAGACTGAAGAGTTAGAAAAACTGGTACAGTGGACACTCGAGTTACAACCGGCCTGACATTCGAACAACTTGGGCTAAGACTGGAATTTTAGTTTTATGACCAAAGTATGAGTTACGACTGGAATGCTGGCCACTTGTGCTTCCAGCTGGTTTCAGATACAGATTTAACCCTTAAGGAGTTCTGAAAGGAACATTACAATATCCTTTCCTATGTGGGGTTAATTGAGAAATCCTGGTCCAGTGTCTCCCTAAGGACACTGAGACATGCCTGGAAGAAAGTGTGGCCTAAAATTATACAGGAGAGAGACTTTGAAGGCACTTGATGAACCTGAGTTACAACCAGCCCTCAGGAACGAGTTGAGTTTGTAACTCATGGGTCTAATGGATTCTGTATTCTCTGAAAAATAATGAATGTGAAGCTACATGTTTCTTTTACTGTTAGAAAAATTATATTTTTTTAAGATTTTTTTTTTTTTTT